CTTTGTTCTCCCTGCCTGATCTACAATAATAATCTGCTTCATGTTGATATTTACTGCTGTGTTGCTGGCAATTACCCGAAAGAGAAGTTGGGGTGCTTCACTGGGCTGGAAAAAGTTTAGCTACATCAGAAAGCAGGTCTAATTAAGCAAGTTTGTTCTATATCTATAAAAGGCTAAGTTGACTCGGGCATGCGCAATACATATAAAGCTCTTGCTGGTGCCAATCGCACACATGTTTCCATCTGTCATTGTCAATTGTGAATTTGGCTGACTCTCTATTATAGAGAAAGGGTGAAAAGCGATATTAAAATATTACTTCTAATTGGTTTCCTTTCAATGTGCACGAATTTGTGCACTGAGCAACTAGTACAAAAATAGAAGGAAGCCCTAGCCAGTTAGGCTCAGTGGATAGAGCGTGGGCCTGTGGACCGAAGGGTCCCAGGTTCGATTCCGGTCAAGGGCACATGCCTGGATTGCATGCTTGATTCCCAGTAGGAGGCGTGCAGGAGGCAGCCAATCAATGATTCTGGCTCATCATTGATGTTTCTCTCTCTCTCTCCCTTTCTCTCTGAAATCAATAAAAAAACTATATAATATATATTTATTAAAAGCAAAAAGGAATCTGGACATTCATGACAGCCACAAGCAGTGATCTCCCTCACCAGCCCACAGTAAACTCATGGACCCCAAAGCCCCAGCCACCCTCCCCTTCCCCCCCACCCCCACCTCACCGTGGCCGTACGCTGCTCATCGATCGTGTGGCTCTTTTGCAGCTCCTTGTAGAGCTCACCCCGTGGCGCGTATTCCAGGATCAGGTACACACGACGCTCGTCATGGAAGTAGTTGTACAGGCGTAGGATATTGGGATGTCTGGAGGGCAGACGGGAGGAGGCTCAGACTCCTCCCTGAGGCCCAACTCATGATGTTATTACAAGAGATTGGTCACTCAAGACACAAGAAGCAGGTTGTGGCCGAAACCGGTTTGGCTCAGTGGATAGAGCGTTTTTTTAATTGTATTGATTTCAAAAATGAGAGAGAATCATTGATCGGCTGCCCCCTGCACACCCCCTTACCAGGATATTTACATGACGATTCGTAACAGTAGCAACATTCCAGTTATGAAGTAGCAACGAAAATAATTTTATGGTTGGGTCACAACACGAGGAACTGTATTTAAAGGGCCAGAAGGGCCCTGGCCGGTTTGGCTCAGTGGATAGAGCATCGGCCTGCGAACTGAAGGGTCCCAGGTTCGATTCCGATCAAGGGCACATGC